TTATTGTTTCTTATACCTATTGTTATCTGTTTTTCTCCAGCCCTGATTAACGGCTGAACTTTTGACCGAAACGTCGGCAAATGTAAAAATAAATACATTTATTTATTTTTACCATTTTAGTTTGAATGATCACCCCTACCATCCTTTTTTCAAGTATGCATTACAGTCAACCATAAACCCACTATTAACAATCTAGTTGGGCCACTTCTGTTCTTTTTAAATTATTTATTTAGCCAAATTTTCAGGAACCTCTTATCTTCAAAACAAATCTAACATTTTCTACACATTCCAATATCATTTTTAATTTTTTTTTTCACATTTCCAAACATAAGGAATTATTTTTGAAAATCCTACTAAAAGAGAATAATAAAAAGTTGTAATAACTTGTAGGAATAATGTTTTAAAGAAGGTGAGAGATTGCTAAAAAGGCTAGGCAAATAATTTTAAAATAAAGGAAGTTAGTTTGTCATTCCATCTCTTATTTTAAAAGTAGCAGTTCAGTAAAAATATTAGAAGGTATGATAATAAAAATACATTAATCACAATGCTAAAAATCAATAACCATATACAGTAAAATTAATTAAGTATATATTTAAAATGTTAAAACAACTTTAAATCAAAGACAAATAAATATAGGTTATTTAGGTTAGTACAAAACACCATAGCTAAAATATTATTAAAGGAAAATTGGTATGTTCTCCTTGATAAAATAATAATAATTATAGTAAAGTTCACTTCAATTAACACATATATATGTACAATAATATATATATTTTTTTTAATTTGATCAATGTACAATTTTGTTAAAGATTTTACAATGTACTTGCAGTGATAGTATTATAAAATAAATTATTCTACTCAAGTTAAAATCTAATCACATAGTATATGAAATAACAAAACCATTTAAAATATGTCACAAAAGTGGATTATAAAATAACGAACCCGTAATAACTTTGTCTAGAATCAAACCTAACTTTCAAATAACTTTTGAAACCATAATTTTTTTTAGTGCATCAAATGAAACTTCAGTTTTCTTATTTATTTTTTCCATGATCAAGAAACTTAGGTCAAAGAATATTAAATATCTTGCTAATTTTTAATTGATCATAAGAACCATTATAATTGCTAGTTCTTTTCCAATCTTAAGGAACCCTGAAAAAGAGATTTTAACAACAAAGAACTATTTAGAATAAGCTACACGATTTTACAAAGAATAAGAGGAGTATATAAAATAAAGGTTTATATAATAATTAATGATACATATATGGGGTTGGGATAGCTGAGTGGGCTAAGGCAATTTCAATAGGTAATCAAAGTTAAGCAATGTGAAGAATGGTGAGTATTTGGATTGGTGACCACTTTAGTAGGGTCTCGGAATGGGTCTAGACTGCTTTGTTATTGTTTTTGAAACCAAGTGAGTTGATGGGAAGGACATTGACAGATTGAGCCCAAAGAGATAGGCTATGGAGCTATGGGTGGCCTGCCACTACATTATGAAGACCATAGCCCATAGCAACATGAGGTTGGGTGACTTTCTCCAGGGTATCTCTGCTCCTGCAAGCAATATATGTCTGTAAAAAGACGACATCGCATGGCCAAATTTCTATATGGTAATAATAACCAATAATAAATTTAAATTAGACCAGTATAAATCTCCAAAACAATTCTATTAATGCTATTTCGTTAAACTACATTATAAAAAAAAGTGGTAATGAGCCCTCGCGTGGGCTCAATACTGCGTATGGGGAGCATCCCACGGATGGCGGATGTGGGGATGGTCGGTGAAAATTCCTTGGAAGTTCTTCCCGTCTAAGTCCGATGGAGAGGGACTCTCCAGACTTGCTGGAGGGAGGGAACTTCCAGACTTGCTGGAGGGAGGGAACCTCCAGACTTGCTGGAGGGAGGGAACCTCCAGACTTGCTGGAGGGTGTGACGTAGGATTGAACGCCCTCACAAATCTTTAGTTCACCATACACCACAAATAGTCATGGGTCTCCCCCATAAATGCAAAACGCTAAAAACGCGGTAAAACGCTCATTATCCGGAGGTAAACTAGTACCACGTTTGGGTCTCCGTGTGGGGACTGCTTTAGGGATTCATGGCGCAAGTTGAAAAATAAGGATTTAGGTATTGGTATGTGGAACGTAAGGAGTTTGAATTCAGCAGGTGGGTTAAAATCGGTCAAGGATGAGGTTAATGGGTATAATTTGGATATCGTGACTCTGCAAGAGGTTTGCTGGCCAGGGGAGGGCTCGATGAGGGAAGGAAAGTATACTATTTGGTACGGAGGGAACGGGAATCATTGTTTAGATACCGAGTTTCTAATTATGAATATATTGCTATCCGCTTTGAGGGACGTACAATTCTTAAGTGATAGAATTTCGGTAGATATTTTTCAGGAACGCTAGTTTAAAATCGCGTTAATAAACATACATTGTTCGACCGAAGATAGTGACGATGAAGTCAAATGCGAATTTTATGATAAACTCGAATGGATTTATGATAAACTACCGCAAAACTCGATGAAAATAATTGTAGATGACGCAAACGCAAAGGTGGGGAGGGAAGAAGTTTATGTTCCAACGATTGGTAAAGAAAGTTTAACGAATATAGTAATGATTATGGGATCCGTCTGATAAACTTTGCCATTTCGAAGAACCTGATAATTAAAAGTACTACGTTTAAACATAAAGATATTCATGAACATACCTGGACATCACCGGATTCACAAACTCGAAATTAAATCGATCAGTTCTTGATACAACATAGCTGGCAATGCAGTATAATTAATGTACAGTCTTATCGTGGAGCAGAATGTGGATCGGAAAAAGAATTAGTAATCGCGAAAATTCGACAAAAACTTAATATAAAAAAGAGAAAAGAAAACTGTTTCGATTTCGAGAATTTTAATTTGGAAAAATAAAAAATCTATCAATTTGAACTCAATTCCAGCTGGATGTTAAGAATAGGTTTGAAGCTTTAGAACCTTCTGACGAGGACCGCGAGGATATAGACAAGCTATGGGTAGAGATCAGGGATAATATTAAAGCAGTCAGTAACTCGTGTCTAGGAAAAAGGGAACATAAGAATAACAAACCGTGGTGTGATGAAGATAACTTAAACATGTACGAAAAAAGAAAAGCCACTAAATTAAAAGCTCTAAATAATTCTAGTGAAGACAATCTGGAATACTTCCGAACCTCAAAGAATCAAACGACATAATTGCTCAAAAGTAAAAAAAGGGAGTATCTTAAAAACAAAATAATAGAATTGAAAATAACATGAGAGAAATGTAAAAAAATATAAATATATCACGTAAATGTTTAGGACCCGTCACGTCTGAAATTAGGGATGAAAATAACAATATTCTGACCGATCCGGTAGATATAAAATAAGTTTAAGAACCATTTCGACAATATTTTAAATACGGGAAATTATAATCTGTGTCTTCCTTCTGAGTACCAGAGTGCTGAACCGTTTATAGAAGAACCGAGTAAAGAGGAAGTTGAAGCAGCTATCGGAAAATTATAATCTTATAGAGCAGCGGGAACCGATAATATTCCTAGTGAGCTAATTAAGGCATGCGGGGAAGCTAGAGTTTCTGAAATACATTTGTTGGTTAAAAAGATCTGGAAGAATGAGAAATTAACTGAAGAATGGAAAGAATCTATTCTTATTCCGATTCACCAAAAGGGCGCGAGGACGGATTGTAATAGCTATCGAGGAATTTCACTCCTTCCGGTATGTTATTAAATATTCGCTTAAATCTCAACTAATCGAATCACGGAATACACCAAGGAAATTATCGGCGACTACCAATGCGGATTTAGACGAAACCGTTCCACTATTGATAAAATATTTTCTTTACGGCAAATATTGGAGAAACAACTAGAGTACAACGGCGTTGTTCCCCGGCTGTATATCGATTTCCAAAAGTCCTACGATTCTATTGACCACCAGAAACTGTATAACATTCTAATCGAGCAGAGGATTTAAAAAAAAAAAAAAAAATTGCAAATCTAGCTAGGATGTACTTGACGAAAACACTCAATACAGTTTAGAATCAGTAATAATTTATCTGAAAAGTTTGAGGTTCGTTTGGGTTCAAAACAGGATGATTCTCTTTCGTCAATCCTGTTCAATTTGGCATTAGAACATGCCATTAGGGAGGTAACCCGTACAGAAAAAGGATTGGATCTGGGTGGGACACCATCCCTATTTAACTATGCGAATGATGTGGTGCTCTTAAGCGAAGACACGGAAACTATAAAACTAAATACGACAATGTTAATGAAAGCTGATAAAGAATTGGGGCTCGAAATAAACACGGATAAGACAAAATATATGATTAGCAGCAAAAATGATGAAATCGATATAGAAAGCAATGTGTTTGAACAGATAGAGAAGTTTAGGTATTTAGCGTCTACGATAACAAGAAAAAAAGAAATTGATGAGGATAGTAAGGTTAGGCTGAAGGCGGGAAATGCTTGTTATTTTTCTGTGACAAAACTACTTAGGTCGCGCCTTTTGTGCCGGAACCTAAAAACTAGAATCTATAAAACCATTATCTTACCTACAGTTCTTTATGGATGCTAAACGTGGTCGCTTACATTAAAGGTTTTTGAAAATAAAATATTGCGCCGAATTGCGTGAACTGTATACGGTTAATGTAATTGAAGTGATTGCATCGCGTTGAATTAAATGGGCTTGTAAACTTATTGGACTTAGTAACGAAAGAATTCTTAAAAGGATAATATTTGCTGTAACGAATGGTAAACATCCGACGGGAAGACCGAAGCGAAGGTGAGAAGATTACTTTAAAGCCGATCTTAAGGGACTGAGTTCGGACGGCGAATGGTAGAGGGAGGTGTGTAATAAGAGATTGATGGTGTCGGCATCGAACCTTCTTTATTTATATTTATATATATTTTTTTACTATTATTATTTTTTAAGGAGAACCGATTTTTAATTATATGTATTAGTAGCTGTAAAACTCTTACTACAAGCTTTTTCATCAGATCCATCTTTGCAGTCAGGGTTGTCATCACACATCCATGTTAGTGGGACACACTCTCCAGGACTACCACGGCAAGTAAATTCCTCTGGGTCACAAACCTTTGCCTCTATAACAGTAACAAAAAATGTACTTACTACAATGTTTTTCATCTTCTCCATTGGCACAATCAGGTTGTTTATCACATTGCCATGTTCTTGGGATACACTTCCCTGGCTCACATTCAAAATGTTCAGCCAGACAGCTTTGTTTTTCTAAAACATAAACTTATTGTTTCATTCAATAATAAACATATCATGTCACCAATTGGAGATTTACGAATATCCTTTATCATAAATAATAAAATCAATAAATAAATAAAATTAGTTTTTGAATATTAAAAAATAATACATTACCATTACATTTTTTTTGATTAATTAGCAATTCATGTATCTCAATTTGATGAATATCACAGAAACAGGCCAGCAACAGGTTATTAAATAACTTAAAGTATCATAAAATCATTAATGGTTGAAATAAAATTTAACATTCATTATTTTTCATTTTATAATTAGAAAAAAGTAATGAAAGATTTGAGAGAAAAATCCTTCGCACCATAATCTGGGATCAGTGTATTAATACATGGAGAAGAAAGACCAATAAAGAAATAGTTACAGAAACTGGTCAATCAATATCCCATGATATGAAACCACGGAGGTCAAGAAAATCATGTAGCTCATCGCAATCCATCTGGAAGTCTCTATGTAACAATTAATGCCTCAATAGAAGGCAAAAACCACGTGGAAGGCCAAAAAACAGATTGATAGATATAATCAACAAAGATGCAATAGAGCTGGGTACAAATAACAGACAGAGATGGAGAAGGCTTGTTAAAGCGGCAAAAGATCTACAAGGTCTGTAATATCAACAGAAAAAAATAGAAAAAATGTTTTTTGAATCTGGATGGGTTACCCATCAGCCCAACCCATAAGTCCTGCTCTGAGTGATTTTTGTTGCTAGAAACCACAACTTAGATATTTGTTTAAGTTGTATTCTGTACTATATATTCTTCGACAGCATTTCTATGTGTAAAAGGCGAGGTGGTGGATACACACTGTATAAGGTAGACCATCAGGGAACAAGGAAGTAGACTCCTAAGAGCTATCAGCCTTGTTGGAGTCAACGATTGACACCCAACGTCTCGAAACCTTTAAAGAGGAAGCTGGGAGGTGCAAAAATTATTATTCTTAAATTAAAAATATGATCCTAGGTTCGGCGAAATACTGCCTGTTCATCTTCTAGATTTTCCTCAACAAATGGCCTTAGCTTATTTTCTAAAATCGAGGTATATATTTTATAAACACTTTGGAGAGACATATCGGTCTGTAATTACCACACTCGCTTGTGCTTTCCTTCGTAGGGATGGGTATAATAATGTTTATTCCCATTATTTGGGAATTTTCTTTTGCTCATATATTTTCTGGAAAAGGTTCTGCAGAACCTATATTATAATAAATTCTGGAGAGAATATCGTCCCTTCCTGCTCTTTTTCCAATCTTGATTCTCTCTATGGCTGATTCACTTCTTCTACTTGACATATTATGTCTAAATCTTAATCACTATCTTGTTATTCTAATGTGACAATCAATTATTCATAGTTTGCTGTTCCCTCTGCAAATAGCATGCCATAGTGCCTTTCCCATCTTTCTAGTATGTCAGCGTTATCAATTACTGTGTATCCATTTTCATTTCTCAAATTACATATGCCCTTACCGTTTTCCTCTAAGACCTTTAACTTTTCTCCTAAACTTTTTAATGATTTCCCTATGATCCGGATCTAGTTAGCTTCCAAAGCATTCTCAGAAATTTTCCTTATATTTCCTAACAGTGTGTTTTGAGATATTCCCCTTTTGAACATAAACGAAGGAGTTGAGCAAAGACTTATATGCCATATATTTTTTCCTGTCTTTTTGTTCGCCATGGCACATATTACTTCTTCACCCCACCATACTGTTCTTTTTTCTCACATGTTCATTTTCTTCATAGTGTATAACTGTCTCCAGTATACAGCATCTAATATCCAACCACACTTTGTCAATATCCTTTTTCAGATCTATCAATAAGAGCAGATAGTCTAGTAAGTCTGCTTATAAGGTTTTCTTCTCAGGATCCCGCAGTTCTGCTATAAATATATATATTTTTTTTTTTTCGGTTGGCTCTACAGACCTTGTAGATCTTTGGCCGCCTGATTGGTTTCTTAATATGGTGTTTTTGACGGGACGGGGTTGCCTCCAGTAGGCTGACGGGTCTCACATACCCGAGGGGGGGGTGAATCTCGGGCAGCGTGACTTTCCGTGGTGGGCCGTCACCCAAATCGGGCGGTCACCCATCCAAGTACTGACCACGCTTGACGTTGCTTAACTTTGATAACCTATAGCAAGTGCCTTAGCCCGTATGGCTATCCCAGCCTTTTAAATCCTGCCTGATACTTTCCGATCTCTCTATCTGCATGGGGAATCAATCTCAATATTTAAGAGTAATTTATAAGCAGATGAGAGAACAATACCCTGGTAGTTGCTGCATTCCAGCTGATCTTCCCTTGTGAAACTGGCAGATAATACCTTTTGTCCTGAGGCATTTTTTCTTCTTGACAAATAGAAAGAATGAGATTGTGAAGATCCTTGTTGAAGTCAGGATCCATCAGAAGCCACCATCAGCTCTGCTTGAATGCCGTCTTGTCCTGGCGGCTTTTTATTCTTCGATTTTGCAATGGCTACCTCAACCTCGTCTTCATCAGGTGGCTCTGCATCACAGTGTGTGTCCTCTTATCTACCTGTTTCAGCACCTTTCTTCACATCTTCATTTTGGAGTATCTTCTTGAAGTGAAGGGAGCGGGGTAGCTCAGTGTGTGAGCACTGACTTCCAGAGCTCAAGGTCCTGGGTTCGAATCCGGCTAATGACTAGTAATTTTTCAATAACCCTGGGATCAGGAGACCCTCCTGGGGCACACCCAGCCTCTATAAAGTGGGTACTCTTAATTATAAAAAAATAATTAAGGGAGAAAACCTGGCGGTTGAGTGTGATATCGGACCCATCACTTCCCTGCACAACTGTTGGCCTTGAAACAGTACTTCCTCACATAGTACTGCACCCAAGACCCTTCATGGGTTGTAGTGGTACAGGATTTCTTGAAGTGAGAAGTCCATTGCTCCAAGAAGTTCTTCTTATCCCATAGAAGGCATCCTTCTTTGTCCATGCATGATGCCACTCTTGGTTTGACTGCGGTTCGTCCCTCATTCACCCGAAAAAAAAGAGTCGACTCTCCTGTAAAGTTCTGATTATTATTCTCAATTATAAAAGTATTCCTATAACTGAACTTGACTGAGACCATACTATTACATTATACACTGACAGGCAAACAATTCCACCCACTTGATTTTTTCATGTTTTCATCTAAAAATATTTCTGCTTTGGATTGGTCTATTGTTTTTAATGAATAAATAGGTAATCTTTTTGTTTGTTTTCAATTAGGAATGTTAATATAGGGGACAATAACCCTTAATCCTTAATTCAATTAAATGATTCTAGATTCCAATGTTTACTTTCTATGGAATCAAAATGTTTATTCAGTATCATTAGTTCAGTGCCGTTTCTTGCAGCACATTTCTTAGTTTCCGGCTTTTAATTTTTTCAATATTAAGTTTAAAAATACCTCTTAGTGCTGAGGATATTGCGCGTGGTGTGGCATTTATTGAAGATGGACGTTCCATTAGCTATGCAGCTATTGCCATCGGAGTTCCATATGAAACTTTACGAGACGCCGTCAGGCGTTTTTGGGAAACTGGTTCTTACAATATAAGGCTCGGTTCCGGACGCCCTAGGGTAACAGAACCACAGGATGACCGGTTTTTGACTTTGAGAATTTTACGAAACCGGTACCTTACCGTTGTTCAAGCGATTCATCAGCTCGAAGAAGTTCGAGGTGTGCAAATTTCTGAATGTACCGCTCAGAGAAGATTAAATGAGTATGGATTAATGGCTTTTAGTCCAGTAAGAGGACCAGAATTGACCAGAACTCACAGAGTAACACGGCTGGCTTTTGTTCGAGAACACAGCCATTGGACTATGGACGAATGGAGTGGTGTACTTTTTACAGATGAGTCAAGATTCGCTCTTCGATCTCCAGACGGGCATGAAAGGGTGTGGAGAAGAAGAAACGAAAGATATGCAGCCTGTAATTTTTTCCAGAGCCAACCTTTTAAACGTGGTTTATATTTTTAGATGAAAACTTGAAAAAATCAAGTGGTTGGAATTTTTTTGCCTGTCAGTGTATATATATATATTTGTTTTTTTTCTTTTTCGGTTGGCTTCTACAGACCTTGTAGATCTTTGGCCACCATAAACAGCCTTCTCCACCTCTGCCTATCTTGGGATACTGCTTTCTAGTTTGCGGCATGAAGCTCAGCTGCATCTTAGTTTATCTTATCTATCCATCTGGTTTTTGGTCTCTCACGTGGTCTCTTGCCTGCTACTTTGGCATTCATTGTTGTGTAAAGGCGCCCTGATGGATTGCTACGAGATACATGGCGCGCTCATCTTAACCTCCTTGCCTTCATGTCATGAGATATTTACTGACCCGTTTCTTTCAGCAGTTCTTTATTGTTCCTCCCCCTCCATGTGTCAAGGTTCAGGTTCCATATAGGTCCTGTTATCTTATGTAGAACTTTTCTTTCGAATCTCTCAATTCTGGCTTTTAGTGTGCCGGTTAGAGTCCAGGTTTCACAACCATACAGCAGAACTGGCTTAATTACAGCGGTGTACAGCCTTATTTTTAGATTTCCGTAGATTTTTCTGGATTTCAGTACCCTTTAAAGAGAGAAGAAAGATCTGTTCGCACTTGTTATTCGCTGGTCAATCTCTGTTAGTTGATCATTTATTGAGGTTATTGTGGAGCCGAGGTATTTGAATCTGTCTACTTTCGGAAATGACTTAGAGTCCACGCAGATCATGTTATTAGGGTGGGTGTTTCGGCTAATTATCATGTATTTAGTTTTATCTACATTGACTTGTAGTTTGATTTGTTCTGCTTCTTTTAACAGAGTCTGAGCGAGTCTCTCAATATCCTTACTTCCAAGGACAGCTATATCATCCGCATATGCTAGAATTTTATGTTTCATTCCAACATGCACCTCTTCATCTTCGCGTGATGTTGTTCTTATTACTTTCTCTAGTGCTAAGTTGAACAGTATCGGCGAGAGTCCATCTCCCTGCCTCAAGCCCGTTCGAACTTCAAATGCTTCAGATACTTCTTATATTAGTACCCTACACTTAGGATCATTTGTACACACCTTCGTCAACCTTACTAACTTCCCGGGAACACCCAGCTCAGTCATAATCTTTCAGAGACAGTTTCTGTCCACGGAGTCATAGGCTGCTTTGAAGTCGACAAATAATGCTTGCACGACCTGATCTACTTCCCATCGTTTTTCGAGTACTTATTTTAGGATGAATATCTGATCTAGCGTATTCCTTCCTCTCCTAAATCCTGTTTGATGGTTGCCTATTATGTTTTCTTTGATGCCTTCAATTCGCCTCGCATTTGTGTATTTCTCGCTTTATATCCTACCCTTTCTTTTCTGATATCTGCGAAGAATTCGCATATATTTCCAGCCTGCCAGTTTTCCTCAATAGTTTGTAATCTTTCATTGAGGAATTCTCTTTTGGCTGTTCTTATTATTTTGTTTGTCTTTTTCCTGGCGGCTGGGTATTTATCCAGCATCGCTTGATCAGTTTGTAAGCAGTAAGCAGAGGAGTTTTCTTCTTACTTTTCTTTTTTCCTCCAATGCCTTTTCGCATGCTTCTGTGAACCATTTCTAGGTTTTTCTTTTTTCCTGAATCCCTATTACTTAGCTTTTTTATTCTCTATTACTACCCTTAGCTATTTATTTTAGCCCTGACTCTAGTGCCTGCCAGTGTTGGTCAACCGTGAGGCCTTCTGAGTTCAAGGGTTCGAATTTATTTTTCAGCCCAATTTGAAATTCAGCTTGTACTATAGTGTTATTCAAATTACGGACATAGTCTCTTTCTTTGCAGTTGGTCCCCAATTCGGTGGATTCGCTTCAGCCTCTGACAGAGTTTGATTCTAATCAGATTATGGTCCGAATCACAGTCTGCTTCACGATAGCTTCTTACATCTTGTATTGAGCTCTGATGTCTCTTGTCTACCAGCACATGGTCAATTTAGTTTTTCGCTCCTTTGGGACTAATCCAGGTGTACTTGCTGATATCCATGTGTAGCAACATTGTACTGCTCAGGACTAGACCTTCAGCTGCTGCCACATCTCACTCAATTGTCATTGCTATTTTCGTGAAAGCTTTGACCTCCGATGATGGACTTTTTTTTTTTTAACTTTTATTATGATATTTACAACTGTATTAGTATGAATACATCAAGTAAATGTGTACAGAGAAATATTATCACATGAAACACGCTCGTTGAGAAACTACCCACTGGTAGCACTCTAATAATTTGTCTACATGAGAAGATCACGAGGCCATCTTCTTTTCAGACACCTCGGAGGGTTATCAGGAATCAAAGAGGAAGCAAGGTTAGAAACAAGAGGATTAGGATGGTTATGAAGTTTATTTTGGAAGGATAAGTATCTGGATTTGGCCAAATCGGAAACATATGGAACATATGATGGACTTAAATTGGGTTTCTTGACCTATCTTGGCACTGAAGTCCCCCATGACTATTTTTATGTCATGTTTTGGAGCCTGGTCCACAACTTTTTGGAACTGTTTCTAACTAATAGAAATCGTCCTTCACCTCATCCTCTTTTTCTTCAGTTGGTGCATACACGTTAATAATCGTGATATTAAACCAACGACCTCTTACGCGTAGCACACTTATCCTTTCATTAACTGGAGTGAAGTTTATTACTGACTTCCTTGTGGCAGGATTACACCGTTTCTCCCGGTGTAGAACAGTGTGTAGCAGTCTATAGTGGTTTTTCCACCATGTGTCCACCTTACCTCTTGAATGGCTGTTAACGGTATGTTGTACCTTTTTACTTCATTAACTAGCGCTTAGGCAGATCCTGGTATAAGCTCCGAACATTCCATGATCCGATATGGAGTCCGTTATACAAAGCCGGAGTCGTTACCATGTTAGGACAGTCAGATTTTCCGAGGCTGGTTTTTTTATTGTGATTTTCTCTTCCTAGTATATAGTAACACACTGGGGAAACAAATACTTCCTCATAAATGTTGAAAAATATATTCTTGGATTTTAAAAAGTTTTTGAATACTTTAATATTACTTAAAAAATCACTTACTCTAGTTTTTTAATTAAAATAATCATATATCTTACCGCACACTTCTGGATTTTCATCACTACCATCATGACAATCTTTCTCTCTATCACAATGCCACATTGAAGGTATACATCTGCCATTATCACATTGGAATTCATTTGCCTTACAAGTAGTTGGTACTAAAACAGAATATGTGTATGAAGGAAGTAATTATTATAATTTTTTATCGATTTTAAAGAAATAAAAATAAACTCAATATTATTTTAAACCTCTCTATTTTGTTTTGTTTTTTTTCATTGTTGTTACTTTTTATCTTCTGACCCTCCAAAATATACAAATTTGTTCAAACTATGTTGAAATCTTCTTGTGCCATGAACACTACTGATGGTAGCTATAAAATACTTCTGAGTAGTTCAAATTAAATTATAAAAATATTTTTAATTACTAAACCACAAAACAGTATTAAATGACTTCTTATTGCTTATCATGAATCATGATATATTAAAAGATTTAAATAAAAATGGAAATGATAATTAGAAATGTCGTAATATAGGTAAGATTATTTTTTCCATTAATAATATATAATATTTATTACTTTACAGAAATGTACATTGAACAGTTAGTTCTGACTTCTATATAAGACAAGACATGAAAGTTTACTTTATTTTTACAGGTATCAAGGCAGAATAAAATTCTATTTAATAATGATGAAACATTTTTGAATGAGATGAAAAACAAAGTAATAATGATAATAAATCTTGAGGTGACAGTAAATGGCATTTTTTTTATCTAATACTGGATTCCATATTCTAAATTCTATACTTGATCTTTCTATGAATAGTTTGGAACACATATAAAGGGTAGTAATGTTAGGAACTGTGAGTATTGTTTAGCAAATTTTAGATATAATAATTAAATAGAATTATGTCCATATGTGTGTTATTTCCAGCTATTGCCAAGATAGATATTAAATAATGACAATAATCACTAAATTAGATACAGCTATAAAGTCTAGTAATGAATTGATTCAGGAAATTATAGATATTACAGAAGTAAATATAATATTTTTAACTTTACAGCTTTAGTATTAATTATTTATTTGTAATGACAATGATAATCCTTTTCCTTTTTTGCTGTAAGGGAATGTGAGTTCCATTTTACACAGTTGCTTCTAGACACTTCATTCTTCCACTAATCTTCTCTCTTCCCTCCTCCAAAAAGATATCTAGATTAATTATTCTTAAGTGATTCTGGGCCAAAATCTAGACCAAGTCCTTTTTATTCAGCCACATTAGATATCCTGGTGAGGTGTTAGTCCTACTGTTTAAGAAAATGTCCAAACATAGTCAAGATTCCTTCATTTTTGTTCTAGAGATTCACTTCTAAGCATTATTTTAGTATTTCTTGTCCTGTCTCTTCTTGCTCTATCCTCCACTTCCAACTTCAGGGCTAAAATTAACTACTAATTAATATTCTTGGAAAAAAGCATTAAGAAATTAAATTTTTTAGACTACATTTTTAATTTGATTCGAACTTTATCATTAAAAGTATTTTCATTAAGTATAAAAGATGAGATTTTATCCAAGAATGTGATTTAATAATTAGTTTTAGGGACGAAGATGCCCAATTAAAAAAAAAATGATTATGTACTTCGTAAACTTTAAAGAGGGATACTAGAGGCTTTTAATTTAAAATTGATTAGAAATAATCGAATGTCTACAATGTTTTTATTTTCTCTTATATTAATTGAATATGTTTTTGTCACATAAAAGTTAATTTATCCATACAGCATCCTTCATACAGTTGCAGACTATAAATTATGGTTAACATTATCACAGATAATTAATACCAAAAACAAACTTACTGAACTGTAATGTAATTGGACTGAGAACTGTTTAAGGACAATATATAATCCACCATTGATTTTACATAGTTCAACTACTTAATCTTACATATGAAGACAAGCAGGTGGGGACGTGGGTCCCTGAGGGCCTGGTTATGAACAGTGTGGGTTCGATTCCCACCTGGGTCAGTTAATTTTTATTTCTCGGTTCCCCAGGAAATGAATCTTGATATTTACACTCCGGTAAGTATGTGGCAGCAAACCTCAAGTTAGTGCCCAGAAGCTGGTAAGTAGAGGGAAATGTTTACAGGACTGATAGCAAACTCTAAGAGCTAAAAAATGTTTATATAAACATTGCTGGCCCGATTTTCGGCCGAAAAATAGGAAATTTATGTTTTGTGGTTTTTTAACTGCCACGTTTTTTGCGAAATAGAAAGTGATAACTAAAGAAATATGTAATATAAATAACTAAAATTGCTTCACTATAAACTAGATAATATTTACTAAATGAAAATAGTTTGTCATTATTAAAACCATTTAAAGAGGACTTTTGAGCTGCTTAAGTGAGCTAAGTTCTGTTTTTAAAAAAATCATAAATTATTTGTGATATTTTTTATCATCATCCAACTATACTACAGATACCCAACCTTTATAAAAAACTTTCTTGTTTATTAAGCTTTAAGGCCATATTAATTAACCATCTCCATCTATACCTATCTTGTTTTTTCTCAGAAATCTACATTCAGTTCTTAAGCATTTTTGTTGATTGGTTCTACCCACCTGAATTTTGGCCTTCCACTTGTCTCTTGCTTACTATTGAGGCATTCATTGTTGAGTTAAGGTTTCCTAATGGATTGCTTCAAGCTACATGCCCTGACCATCTTAACCTCCTTGTTTTCATATGATAACATATTGATTGACCAGTTTCTCTAAACAGTTATTTATTGGTACTTCTTCTCCATGTGTTAGTATTCTCATCCCAGTAGCACCGGCTAACGTGAAGAGAATTTTCCACTAAAATCTTCTAATACTTCTTTCTAGAGTGCTGGTTAGTATCCATATCTAGCAGCCATATATTAGAAATGGCTTTTTGTACATATTGTAACATTAATATGGACTTGAAGCTTATTAAATGAGGACGTTTTTCTAAAAGAGGAGTAAATGTAGTAAAGTTAAAGTGTGCTAAAAAAATCACAAAAGTTAATGACTTTTTAATGAAACTTAGCTGTGTTTGTCCACTCTATTGTCCTCTTTATAGTTATAGTTAATAGTATTATTAATGGTTAGTAGTGTTAATCGACTAACTCTACTTTGGTTTAAAGTAAATCTTATCTAGTTCACCATGGAGCAATGTTTAGCTACTTAAATCAAATATTTTTTAAGATATCGCATCCTATTCAAGAAAAAAACGTGACTCGCATAAAGAAATACAAATCTTAAATCTCCTACCTTTCTGCTGGAAATTGGGCCATATAATGTATAGAAACTTTTTTGTAGACCTCCATTTCTACTATGAACTTTTTAAATATTTCCCTCTACTTATATATATATATATATAACTTAAGTTCACGTTAAAGAACAGAAATAAAAATACGAAAGTGAGAGAGCTGAAATAACACGCAAGACTGCAGTATAAAGAGTGAGTTCTTCTCCTTGCTCCTCAATATATATAAACATCTAACAGCTGATTTTACTTAACAGCTGTTACCCCGGTCCTTAACTGTATATATAGAGAGGGGGGGCTGGCGTAGCCGTGCAGGCTAAGGCCCTTGCAGTAGGTAATCAAAGTTAAGTTACGCCGAGCATGGTTAGCACTTGGATAGCACTGTCCACCAGCGAAAGCGACGGTTATAGGGAGAGAGAGAGGCTCCCCGGGTACGTGAGAACCATCAGCCTACTAAAGGCAACTCACACCGACCGGGCGTAGGACTGATGACCCTATCACCGTGTACTTCGGTGATTCCGTGTATTCCGGTAAAATCGGGAATCAGGACGTGATCTAGGAGACCACATCTCGCGGACAAAGATCTTCATGGTCTGTATTGCCAATCGAAATATATATATATATATATTAATATATATATATATATATATATATATATATATATATTTTTGTAAATGTTTTTTTTGTTTTCTTTCGGTTGGCACTGCAGAGCATGAAGATCTTTGACCGCGAGATATGGTCTCCTTACAGACGTATGTTGCTTGCGGCAGCTCAGATAACCTAGAGGGGGTCACCCAAACTCACATTGCTACGAGCCATAGGTGCAGCGGCAGGCCACACGTAGCTCCATAGCCGGCCCCTTTGGGGCCAATTTGGCAGTGTCCTTCCCACCGACTCATCCGGGTTCATGGACAGTGACAAATCGGTCTAGATCCATGGATTATGGCTCTTCGGAGTCAGCAGGCGCATGAGGACCTATATTTATTTCCCCGAAACAGACCGTCCATGGACCGAACCTCAGGGGGTGTTACTAACATCCTGGTTAACCACATCCCGACTCCTGATTTAAGTACGCGGGGTAGGGTCATCAGTCCTACGCCCGGGCGGTGTGAGTTGTCTCCACTCGATTAGGCTAACGAGTCTAACATACCGGGGGGGGGGAGACTCGGGTAGCATGGCTTTCCCTGGTGGACGGTCACCCATCCAAGTACTAATCACGCTAGACGTTGCTTAACTTCGATTACCTATTGCAAGCGCCTTAACCTGTACGGCTACCTCAGCCCCATATGTATATGTATGTGGGTGTATATAAAGATATATGTATAATTCTTTAGTTAACCTACAAAAGGATATTAGTTTATATTTTTAAGTAAGAAATATACTTTTTTACCTTTCTTTATTTGTATTTTATATATCTTTGATGACTTAATGTTCTTTTATTAATTTAATATAATAAGTCTTTTGGTCAGAAATAATCTTTATTTTTCTGTTTTTTTATTAGTTATTTTTATATTCTAATCCATATAGGCAAACAAACACACACACATGCACACCCACACGTACACGCACACTACAATGAAGTATGAAATATAAGTGTATTAAGGGATAGACAACATAAATATAAACAGACTCAAAAATTAAAAAAAATATAATTCAATTAATTCATTGAAAAACAATTGAAACTAATTTTATTGAATATATACAGATTACTTTGTTTTATTTTATGAAAGTAATGCATTCTCCAATTTGTCTTCATTTATTTAATCGATTATTGAATATTTATATATTTAAACACAAAAAAAAAAAAAATCAAAGAAAATTAATAGACATACAGGAAAATAACTGTTTGTAAAATAAAATAACAAAATAATCTGGGAGATGGTATTATGGTT